ACCTGACCATTGTGGACCTGGTCTCACCCTCCTCTGTATATATACACCTTGGTTTGTATTTCTCTTTAGTCTGTACTCACCCCTGAAGATGTGAATTACACGAAAGCGCTTGGGAACTTCGTGTTTTCTTCTTTCCTTGTGGTTATCAGCATATACCTAGATCACGCGCACCTACAGTCATTTACTTGCATATATATATATATATATATATATATATATATATATATATATATATATATATATATATATATATATATATATATATATATATATATATATATATATATATATATATATATATATATATATATATATATATATATATATATATATATACTGTATACATATATATAAAACACGCAGACTTGAAATATATTTGGTACCTCGTGTTTCATATCAGCTGGATTCGGTAAAATGCTACTCCCACCACATAAGTGGCACGGGCAATCCCCATTGGGAGGTTCACGGCACCATCAGCTCGATGAACAGGCTTTGTGTGAAATATAACAGAGTCTAGGATTGCTTTTAGTTTCCTTGTGGCATGGTGGGTAGTGTTCCCTGGTCACACGTATAAGGTCGAGGGTTCGAGTCCTGGCTGGTGAGGTTGTTGATTATATATATATATATATATATATATATATATATATATATATATATATATATATATATATATATATATATATATATATATATATATCTTGATAAAATCACACGTTTTCATTGTGGATTTACATGAAATATATATATATATATATAAAAGCATGCCTTGCACACGAATGCTGCCGGGCTGGTGAGTGGTGACGCCAGTATCATAAAATGAACAGTTGCAGCTTAGCAGGCATTTTGTTTTCACATATCTGGACAGGAACAGGAGAAAAACTTTCTCAGGTATCTTACAGCATTTATGTGTCCCTATTCAACATGAGCAAGAGAGCAAGTGATGGTAGTGATGGTTGAAAAGCTAAAGACGAGAAACTAGGCGTGTTAAAACCATATGAAAAAGGTGAGAGGTCAGTGGATATTTCACGAGCTTTGGGGGGGGGGGCGCATAATCAACAATGAAAACTATCTAAGAATTAAGAAAAATTTTCAGAAAGTAATCAGTTGATGAAGAGAATGTTGAGGAGCTATTTAACAGTCACAGAGAAGATCTAACAAATGAAGAACTAATGCAACTTGAACAAGAGCGACCAGAACACAAACACACCAACAGAGTTACCCCTACCTCACCTTCTTCCAAATTTATGACAACATTGACTGTATGCTTAAGTTTTTTATTTTACCACCATTGGTGAGTAGGATTTTTGTTTTACATTCATAAGCATGAACAATAATTTAATAAGTGTTGCTTTCATATTCCTATGTAGAGAAATGAGTGGTTACTTCTACTGTACATTACATAACATTAATTAAAACATATATATTTTTTTACATTAATTTTACTACAGCAACAACCAAGGTCTTATTTTCTTCAATTTCAGGTGTAGAAATATCATCATCGGTGTAAACATTGACAACAACAATGGTGCCCCATCTCTTGTGTGGCCATATTATTATTGATTTATATTGTATAAGGTGCATTCATAAACATTATTTAAAGAATATAGATGGCATTTTTCATTAATTTTATTGTTTTTGGGGAAAAGAGGATAAATAGCCAAAAAAAATATGAAAAGGTCACACTAGGGAACGCATTTAATTATTATTGCTTTATTTTAATGGTAATTAATGATTCACGATACAACGATTCACCTTACATGGTGATATTGGAGGACACATTACTGTCGTTATTGAGGCTTTCCTGTACAGTCGACCCTCGTTAATTCAGACTAATAGAGGGGGAAGGGTGTCCGTTTCAGCCGATTGTCCGAATTAACCGATTTAGGGGTTAATATTGCATTATATTTCAAAGTCATTGTTTTCGTCACGATTTTATCCCACTTTCCACTGTAATACGTACGCAATTTCAGCAAAAATATAACATTCCCGTGAATGTATTATATCAAGTACAGTATGAATAGAATACCATTGTAATATAACAGTATTTTAACCGAAAACTACTAAAAAAACGAATAACATCTCAAGAACATCGGAAGCTTAGGTAAAGTCTTTTGTTTTCGTCATGTATTTTATCCTATTTTACATTGAAATACATGACGTTTAAGCAAAACTACTATTTATTTCCAAGAATATATTCATTCAGGCGCAGTGTAGTGGACTTCTCCCCTACAACTGCGTAGCTGCATCCCACCTGCGACGCTTTCCTTAGCAACCAAGCGAGCGGCGACACCAGATGGTACGGTAACCTAGCAACGGAACCAAAAGACCGGCGACTTTCTCGGGTTTTCCCAACATGACTCATAGAGGACTCACGGCTGCTGGGTATATAAGCTCTGTCTCTCCAGTGAGATTCATTCTGACCATCTTCTTGAACAAGCAACACCTCCTCCTCCGCCGCTGCCTGGCAGTGGCCCTACAACTGCGTTGCATCCTCGCCTAGCAACCAAGCGAGCGGCGCCAGATGGCGGTCCTAGCAACGGAACCAAAAGACCGGCGACTTTCTCGGGTTTTCCCAACATGACTCATAGAGGACTCAGCTGGGTATATAAGCTCTGTCTCTCCATGAGATTCATTCTGCGACCAACACCAGCCTGGCGGTCCTCGCTCCCGCCAGCGAGCATGGCGACCCACCAGCTGTCCTTCTCTGAGCTTCCTCACCAACCAGCTTTCTCATTCTGGTCTCTCTTCTTGAACAAGCAACACCTCCTCCAGCAAGCTCCACGCTGTCAGCATTCATTCAACCAGGAGGCCAGCAACAGGCAACATCTTCTCTAACGAAGCTCCTGCACATCTACCTCCTTCAACACGCTACTCACTGAACGTCTCTACTGAGCAGCTCCTCACCACACGGCACCTCCAGCACCAGACTGTCTATCATATAACTTATATTATACAAGAAAACCACCTTAGAGTTTCCATCCATCCTGAGTGCTAGACAACATTATACCACGAACTCCTACAGCAGTTTAGGTAAAATATACGTGTGATGTAACAGTTTTTTAACTGAAAACGATTCGAAAAACACGTACCCTCTAGCCCTGTTCAAGGAGAGGACTGGGAGAAGCTGTTTGGTGTTGCAGACAATGACAAGGAAAATGATTTGGATGAATTTTAATGAAAATATTCAGAAATATGGTATCGTAGTATTTACTCAAGTCAATCAGGATAGAATATTATTGTAATACAACAGTTTTTTAACTGAAAACCAATCGAAAAGCGATTACGGTAACATCTTTTGAATGAAAGAAAGCGAAAGTCATTGTTTTCGTCACGATTTTATCCCACTTTCCACTGTAATACGTTTGTCATTTCAGCAAAAATATTACATTTCCATGAATGCATTATATCAAGCACAGTATGAATAGAATACCATTGTAATATAACAGTATTTTAACCAAAAACTATTAAAAAAACGAGTAACTTCTCTAGAACATCGGAAGTCTTTTGTTTTCGTCATGTATTTTATCCTATTTTACATTAAAATACATCACGTTTCAGCAAAACTACTATTTATTTCCGAGAATATATTCATTCAGGCACAGTTAAGGTAAAATATACATGTGATGTAGCAGTTTTTTAACTGAAAACGATTCGAAATACACGTGTACCGTGTAGCTGATACTCAACAGCTGGTGGTGCGTCATGTGTCGTTGTAAACAATAGGAGGTTGAAGTAGATTACCGGGTATTATATTAAGTGTGAAATATCAAAAAGGATTTTATTACCGGTATTTTTTGTAGATCAATGAGAACTGTGATACCGTATAAGATATGATAAGTTAGCCTGTGCTAAGAACTTCAACATAGACTACTGAAAACACGTTGTAAGGTAATTTAGCCTATTGCAAGTTGGTGAGCTTCATTTGCTGAAGGAACTGCACATCTTTTCATTACTAATTGGTACAAATTTTACGTTTCCATTGTTTACTGGCAGTAAATGGTAAATATTTTTCATGTCTGAAGCTAAAAGTTGCATCCCCCCCCACACTAGTGGTGGAGATGTTACATTTGACCAAAAAGATGCTGGTGTTTTATCCCAGCAGTGGGTGGACCAGCATTTTAGCTTAAGGTCCGCGTAGGTAATATTCCTACAAATCTTTAGAAAAAAAAAAAAAAATCGTTCAGATTTTGTCCGAATTATCCGAAATCCGGATTAAAGGGGTCCGAATTAACAAGGGTCGACTGTACTGACAAAACACTGGTGGTAGAAAAGAAGAAAATTAAGATATAAATAGGATACAGCCTAACCAATTGTAGGGCATTTTGAAATGTCCTGTTATGTCTGTTTTATAAACTTATGAGGGTGCAGGTGTGGGTGTTCTTGTACCATTGTTAATGAAGGTGTAAGTATTCTTATATGTGTGCATCTATGTTTGTTTAACTGTAAGTGACTGTGTCTAACAGTATTTATGCTACTGTTTGTATAGGTAGGCCCAAGCATACAAAATGATTGCAAATACAGATATCCTTCATTATCCGAATGGGTTAGGTTCCTTGAAAATAATTCCGAGAGTGAATGACACAATAAATTGGAAAATTAGGGTTTGGTTCTCTAACAACAAAAATCAAATCAGATCATAAACAACAAAAACCTACCTAACTAAAGGTTCTGTAATTTAGTACCTAACTACAGCATGGTAATTACTAAACTACATAAAATATACTGCATAGTTGGCACATTACCTTATTGGAGGGTGGCCAGAGCTCACCACGGGGGTGTGAGGAGGGGTGGGTTGATTTGAATATCAATTTATTTTAATTTTTGATTGCACCACCTTTTGGAAAAGTGAGGATTGCTTTTGGATAGCAAAAGTGAGGTGTAATAATAAAAATTTCATATGAGCAAATTTGGGGACAGCAAACATTAAAATAACAAGGGATACCTGTACAGAACCATAACAGTGTACAGTATACTGATTCCAGGTAAAGTGGAGCACTTACCAATGGGTTGATTTTTGCGGTTGTGGCAGTTGCTAGTGACGGTAACACTGCTAGTGCTGAGTGTGGTTATTGGCAGGCCAGCACTACAACCAACACTCTGAGTTATAGGACTTCGATCTCGACTTCTTTCGTGGCTCTGACTCCGCTCTGTAAATTTGGTCAAGGACATGATAATAGATGATATTGAAGATGTAGTGGAGAGATTTAAGGAATGGAAGAATAGAAATGGAGTCAAAGGGTGAGAGTGAGAGTTGCAAAAAACAAAGTTATGATTAGTGGTTTGGGTGAGGAACCCAAGGTGAAAAGGGGAAAATGGTCATGTATGGTCTGTAAGAAAGGTGTTGGCAGTAATTCAATAATGTGCAGTGAGCTTGGAGGAACAAAATGCCAATGCTGATGGGGTAAGTGTCCTAGCTGTCATTCTAATATTTTTGTCATACTTTATACTATACAGGGTCCCTGTAACAGGGGTGCAGGTCATTTCATTATGGGTGAACTATAAAACAATTTTACTAACTTTTTTCAATAATACACATTATTTTTATGTCCTAAAACATATTGTTACAAGCATATTATCCCCACTGATGCAAGACATTTTCAAACAGAGTGAATTTATAAATGTACTACTTTGTCTACTTATAATACTGTACCTGTACTGAAAAAAAAATGATGTGGTAAAAACTTTTAAATTTAGTGATGCACCACATAAGAACTTACCTTCCTTGTTTCGTTCAGGGTCATGATGTTCTCGCTGTCGTTGTCTCTCTCGTTCCTTTTCTCGTGCTCTTTCTCTCTCTCGCTCTTTCTCCTTGTCGCGTTCTCTCTCCCTCTCTCTTTCCTTCTCTCTTTCTCTCTCTCGTTCTTTTTCTCTCTCTCTTTCACGATCTCTTTCTCTTTCTCTTTCTCGTTCTCTTTCTCTTTCCAGTTCTCTCTCTCGCCTGAGTTCCAGTTCATATTCCCGTTGCCGCATGTCCTCCTCCAGTTTTAACCTAGAAATAAATAAGTTTAAGAGAATAACACTTGCCCATATGAGTATTGAGAGAACATGTCAGGAAAATAATAGCTAATGTGCTGTATTAACATCTATGACCTGGAAAACTTTACTAGAATACAGTAATATATCCATTAGCCGGAATCCCTCAAAGCCGGAACTCTCCGATAGCCGGAATTGAAATTTTCTCGGAAAATCGTTCCCAAAGCTGGAATTTTCCAGAAAATTACAGCTTTGGGAACGATTTTCCGAGGGGCACATTTTCCGGGAAAATTCCAGGGATGGGGGACTTTTTCCCGAGTTTGAGAGATGAAAATCATGGTAATTTTCTGGAAATTCAGAGAAAAAATTTCAGTTACCCGGAAAATTCCGGGGATGAGGGATATTTTTCCGGGTTCGAGAGATGATGTAATGGGCAATTTCTGGAACCTTCGAGAACTTTTTCCGTTACCCGGAAAATTCCGTGGATGAGGGATTTTTTTCTGGCTTCAAGAGAGTCGTCTCGTAATCCAAAAATCTCTCATTCCCGGAAGTGCTCTGCACCAATTGTTCCAGCTAACGGAGATATCACTGTACAGTTATAAGACTTGAACTACCAGGTGGTTCAATCATTGTTAACCCGGTGTATCAGGCAGACATGGGGCTGAAGGCAGATTTGGTTTTGGCTTTTGAAACTTTCAAAAGGCTTCAGCTTAGGCTTCGAAGCCAGAGGCTTGGCACTGGCTTCGGCTTTGAAGCCATGGACCTGGCTTTGGATTTTCTTCTTTTTATGGGCACATTGACCATATTGTGACATCACAGTTGGGCTGAACCTTAACTTTTCTGTTCAAACAATGACCTGACTTGCTAGGAAAGCCTAGTTGCATGCTATAGCCTCAGTGACTTCTCAGCTCATCCCTCCTATTTCTATTTGTCTATTCTCACACTGACCTGACTTGATCCTCAGACAAGCACCACCTCTGTCTCCTCAGCCCCGGTGCTGTTAGCTGACCGACCACACTTTTGAAAAGCTTAAGATGATTCACTACAGTGCTTCTCTGTGATTGTTGACTCCCAGTTACTATGGTTTTATGTTACCATGTATATTTAGTAGATTTTTTAAATTACTGAATAAAATTAATGACAATGAATAATGAATAAAATAAAACAATGCATAATATACAATTATATAGATAGATTGCTATGATAATAAATTTTTACCAGCCTACAGAAATGAGAAAAAAATGGAGCTGGACAAAACCCCACATTAAGGTGCAAATTACGGTTGGTCAAAAGCTCCCATCAGTGGCATATAAGTTTCTGGAAAGGAGGGGCTCCAACACTTGAAGATGGGGACATTATTTTACTTCCATCCAGTGGTGTAAGTGTAGTGAGGCCATGAATAGTAGGACATATTGACAGGAACAGCACACACTGATCCAGGACCAGCACACATACCATTCTCTACACTGCTGTTCGGGGATCCGGTGAGGGGAAACTTAAGTATAATTAACCTCTAGCCATACTGAGTTTTGTGTGTGAAAAAATAAATAACATTGTGCAATCTGAACAGTGCATAAATATTATTCCATTCTCATGAACTGGTTGCGTTGGGTATATAGGCCCCCCCCCCTATATATGCCACTGCCTCCCATTTACTATGTTAATATTTCTAAAGATCAGTAGACTTATAGACTGTATTACAGTATGGTAACAAAATGTTTCAAAAGCATCATTTGGGTCTCCGGTAATTCAAGGTCAGATTAAAGTCACATGGCCAATGCACATTTGAGCTTTCACCTGAAGTTCACCCTCCCTGACACTACCTAGAGGGGAGATTCTGACCTGCTGACCTGTGATAATATGTTCTTGCGTTGGTCAGAAATTTCTGTTCCGACACCACAACACATGTCACTTGCTAAGTCAGGTAAAAAATTGTGCTGCCTTAGATCCTCCACTATTATGATACAGTATACAGTACTGTACTTGTTTAATATTATCTAAATATAATAACAGTATGAAAAATGAAACAAAGCAACTTAAAAAACACCCACACCATTTAAAGAACCTGTGTTTGGATTTTGTGAATGAGAGGAAGACCTCAGAGGAGCTTTAGAAGGGCATAGATCACAGCATCAGGTGGAAGTAAAATGAACTATAAATGAACCTTAACATTTAATAAGCTCTAGACTATTGTGTTTTACTTGTTTGTTGACTTTTGCTAGATATGATGTGATGATTGTGATGATCCTTTATAATGTTCATATTTATGGTTGTGGTATTACACTGTATGTGCTCTTGTATAATACTGTACAGTACAGTCTCTCCTCGATTTACGACATATTCGACTTACGACAACCCAGACATACGATGGCCATGGCCGTATAAAATATTTTTCACATTACGTATTTTCGAGTCCCGACGTTTGGTCGTAATGTGACGCCGTACGATAGCTTGGGCTGGGCCGCCTTGTGGTGTACAGCATCCACGTCGTAGCCCGCTCAGTTGGTGTTTGGCCGTCGTTGTTGTTAGTAATCGCGCTGTGTACTGACAAAATTTTTGTTTGTAATTCCCTTTAAAATGGCTGGCAAGCGTAAAAATGAGAGTTCTCGTGGTGATAAGAAGAAAAAGAGACAGTCAATTACTTTTTAGATAAAATGAAAATAATTGTCATGGGTTGTGTTAGGCTTACCCACGCAACCAACTCCAAAGTTTATTTTACTAAAGATAAAGCACCCAGCAAGCCATGCCTTCAACATATCTTTTCCATTAGTGGTATGTTAGCCATTCTATAGGGGGAGGCCATTGAGACAGTGTTGTACTGTTCATCGCCTCACGCCCCAAAACCACATTTTGAGTAGTATCCCCGAGGCCATGGGTTAGTTAAGACGTCGTCCCCACCCTCTTCCTCCTGAAGGGAATGGGACACCACACAGAGTCCTCCACTGCCACCCCGTCCTGTGACCGTCAGTGACACGAGATTAAGTGTATTCACCTAGGTTTGTATTCCCGTGGAAAAATCACGTGTGGAAGCCTGGTTGCGACAAAAGCAATCCAGGCTGGCCTATTGCACCTAAGTGGTTAATCAAGTCACGCTTACCAGTTCTCCTTGCCGCGACAACCGTCTACAGTGACTGTCAGTGACGCGAGACTATGCGTGGTAATCCAAGAGTACCTTTTGGCAGTAAATGTATCACTTGAAGAATTAAGGCTCTGTTAAGTCATACCCACAGTAGAGTAATCACATGTGTCCCCAAGTTGAAAATTCCCTCTTTTAGAAGATTAATTTTATTTCAGCATGAATGTGAGTGATTCATATATCCATGCAAATTGTAAATCATTGTATGGAAGCTTGCCAAGTAAATGTAAGTGCTATTATCTGCCCGTATCTGTGATCCTATCTTATTATTACTAAAGGTAATGACTGATTGGTTATGACAAAGTATAACCAATAACTTAGATGGATGTTGGAAATTAATGGAACTCATTAAATCATCATTTATCAAGTATAAATCATGGAATGTCGGGTGGTGGAGTGAATTTATACGTAGATAAACCATAATCTCCTGTAAGTAACCAGTGTGAAGGTATCGAACTCTACGGTACGAAATATAAGAAACAATAATAATCTTAATATAATCCACACCTTAGACGATTACTGTACAAAGAAAAACCATGACAATAATAATGTAATATGAAAATGGAAAAACGGTAGCAACCATTTCACGCGACCTTGGCTTCTCTCACTCGACGACATCAACAATTTTGAAGGACAAGGAATGAATTTGTGAGGTAGTGAAAGGATCAGCACCTATAAAGGGAACAATAATAACGAAAAAAAGACAAAGTCCTCTTCATGAGATGGAGAAATTACTTGTGACGTGGATGGAAGATCCGCTGCAAAAGCGTGTACCCTTAAGCCTTCTAACCATACAGGCTAAGGCAAGAAGCCTTTTCGAAAGCCTGAAAGAGCAGGGAAGAGATGAGTGTGACCAAAACTACACAGCAAGTCATGGGTGGTTCCAAAGGTTAAAGAAACGTTGCAATTTGCACAGTGTAAAGGTGAGTGGAGAGGCAGCAAGTGCTGATGTGGGTGCTGCTGAAGCTTTTAAGGAGGAGCTAGATCGTGTCATCATGGAGGGAAATTATTTGCCTGAGCAAATATTTAATGTGGATGAAACTGGCTTATTCTAGAAGTGCATGCCAGAACGGACATACATCCACAAAGAGGAGAAAACCATGCCGGGATTCAAGGCATTCAAGGACCGAGTCATACTTGTGTTGGGGGGGGGGGAATGTAGCTGGTTTCAAAGTAAAACCCTTCATGATATACCATTCAGAGAACCCAAGGGCTTTTAAAAATGTCAGCAAGCACACACTGCCAGTGTTTTATTGCAATAATAAGAAAGCATGGATGACCCTAGCACTGTTTGAGTTGTTTCATTCCACAAGCCAAAGAGTATCATCTGCAACAAGGGGTTGCCTTCAAGATTTTATTAATTTTAGATGATGCTCCAGGACACCCACCACACCTGGACAACTTGCACCCTGATGTTAAGGTTGTCTACCTTCCACCTAACACTACCTCTATCATCCAACCCATGGATCAAGGTGCTATTGCTGCCCTTAAAGCATATTATTTACGTACGACCTTCGCTCAGGCTATTGCAGCTACTGAAAGTGAGAAAACACTCAAAGAGTTTTGGAAGGACTACAACATTTTGCAATGTACAAAGAACATAGCTGCAGCATGGGATGAGGTTACAGGTCAGTGCGTGAATGGAATATGGAAGAAGGTCCTGAAAAGATATGTGAACAGTTTCAAAGGATTTAATGAAGATGAAGCAATTTCTGAGATTAGTAACAAGATAGTGCAGATGGGTAAACATCTGGAGTTAGAAATTATTTTCGCCTTTTCGACTTATGACCAAATCAACTTATGACCTGGTCGTCGGGACGGAACCCCGTCCTAAGTCGAGGAGAGACTGTAGTTATAAATTTATAATGTTAAGTTTCTAA